AAAATTTTTCTTTTATATTTATTTATTTATTTTTTTTGAGAGAGAGAGAGAGCATGAGCAGGGAAGGGGCAGAGAGAGACGGAGACACAAAATCCAAAGCAGGCTCCAGGCTCTGAGCTACCAGCACAGAGCCCCATGTGGAGTGCAGACACACAGCCGAACCCACAAGCTGTGAGATCATGACCTGAGCCGAATTTGGATGCTTAACCAACTGAGCCACCCAGGCAGCCCTATTATTTTGGATTATTAACAGCACTTACTATAGTTGAAATATTTGAAAATAGAGAAAAGTGTAGAGAAAAAATTGAAGTCACCCATAAAAAATTATCCATGAATCCATAGCCCCTCTTATTCCAAATAACATTAATATTTTGTATTTTTTCCAGTAACTTTGGCATCCAAATTTATATGCTTGCTATTGTGAACATGCTTTAAAATAGTACTGTGTAGGGTGATATTAAAAAGTACTAATTTATAGGGGTGCCTGGGTGGCTCAGTCGGTTAAGTGTCCTACTTTGGCTCAGGTCATGATCTCATGGTTCATGGGTTCGAGCCCTGTGTCAGGTTCTGTGCTGACAACTCAGAGCCTGGAGCCTGCTTCAAATTCTGTGTCTCCCTCTCTCTGCCCATCCCCCATTCGTGCTCTGTCTCTCTCTTTCTCAAAAATAAATAAAAATATTTTTAAATTACTAATTTATAGGGGCGCCTGGGTGGCTTAGTCGGTTAAGCGTCCGACTTTCGCTTGGGTCATGATCTCACGGTTCATGGGTTCGAGCCCCGCATCGGGCTCTGTGCTGACAGCCAGCTCAGAGCCTGGAGCCTGTTTCAGAGTCTGTGATTCCCTCTCTCTCTGACCCTCCCCTGCTCATGCTGTCTCTATCTCTCTCCTAGAAATAAATAAAAACATTAAAAAAAAAATAAATTACTAATTTATAGGGGCGCCTGGGTGGCTTAGTCGGTTAAGCGTCCGACTTTCGCTTGGGTCATGATCTCACGGTTCATGGGTTCGAGCCCCGCGTCGGGCTCTGTGCTGACTGCCAGCTCGGAGCCTGGAGCCTGTTTCAGTCTGTGGCTCCCTCTCTCTCTGGCCCTCCCCTGCTCACGCTGTCTCTCTCTCTCTCTCCTAGAAATAAATAAAACATAAAAAAAAAAAAAATGGTCTTTAGGGTGTCCTAAGTATCTCCTCCAGCCATTTCTGTGCCCAGTGGCCATCTGTTTCGTTGATATCCTTGACAAAGGGGATAGAGTTATCTTGGATATGATAAAATTTGCAACACCTAATTGATTTTTAAAATAAGTCCATGTTTGGCAGTTCCTCTGTCTGGGGCTGGGAGAGAGGGAAGCTGCAGGGAGGTGGAGAATCACAGGTAGTGTCACAAAATCAAATAAACAACTGTAACATGTTGGGTGTTGCAACTCTGAAAAGGCTTGATCATGGCATGAAGGCGACAGTCCTCTGGCACCTTGTGGGTGTGAGAGCAGCCCTTCTTGCAAACCAGTCCCGGGGACCCTGCCCCTTGTTTGTCGGGCCTCTTCATGCCACATTCCTCTCACAAGGTCTCTCTTTTGAGTTGGTGGCTTGTTTAAAATCCAACATCTAATTTAAACTCTATGTTTTGGGACACCTGGGTGGTTCAGTTGGTTAAGCACCCTACTCTTGATTTCAGTGCAGGTCATGATCTCACAGTTCATAAGTTCAAGCCCCACATCAGGCTCTGTGCTGACAGAGCAGAGCCTGCTTGGGATTCTTTCCCTCTCTCTCTGCCCCTCCCCTGCTTGCTCTCTATCTCTCTCTCTCAAAAAATAAAATTAAATAAATAAATAAATAATAAAATAAAATAATGTTTTAAGTCTTCTCACAACAGTACTATTTCAAGAACAAGACCAGAAAAGAAACTGGTATCATTTATAGAATCTCCCTTATTTGCCCAGTTTGCTCAAGGTCACCAACCAATTGTTGACAGGTTAAGACTGGAATTCAAATTCTGTGATACCCTTTCATTTTGTCAGAACCACACTCCTATTTATTCCTTGTTCTGGGTTGAATTATGTTCCCTCTAAGTTCATATATTGAAGTCCTAACTCCCTAGTATCAAAGAATGTGATGTTATTTGGAAATACGGTCATTGCAGATGTAATTAGTTGCTGAAGTAGAGTGGGCCTCTAATCCAGTATGACTCATGTTCTTATTAAAAGGGGAATTTTGGACACAGACAGGCACATAGGGAGAGCGACATAGTAAGATGAAGGCAGAGAGCAAGCGGATGCCTCTATAGGTCAAGGGGTGCCAAAGATTGCCAGTTAACCACCCTAAGCTGGGGAGAGACATGAAAGAGATGTTCCCTCCCAGCCCTCAGAAGGAGACAATCCTGTGAACACCTTGATCTCAGACTTCTGGCCTTTGGAAGTCTGAGACAATACATTTCTGTTGTTTAAGTCATGTAGTTTTTGGTACTTTGTATCACAGCCCTAGTAATCTAGTACGCTCTCCCTAGTGTGACTTTGAGATGTCATAGGATCTTGGGAAGTTAATGCTCTCCATAAGGGTTAGAGTCTCTTTGGCAATTCTAGCTTCCTTTTACCTCATTTTGGAAAGTGGTAGTACTCAGGCAGAGGTAAAGTTTTCCAATATGTTCTATATTCCAATATGTCAATAGTTTGTTTTTTATTTTATTTAATTTTTTTTGCCTATTTATTTTTGAAACAGAGAGAGACAGAGCACGAGTGGGAGAGGGGCAGAGAGAGAGGGAAACACAGAATCTAAAACAGGCTCCAGGCTCTGAGCTGTCAGCACAGAACCCGATGCAGGGCTCAAATCCACGAACCATGAGATCATGACCTGAGCTGAAGTCGGACGCTTAACCAACTGAGCCACAATAGTTTGAATTATTAAAGTCATGAATATGCAGGATAAGGTGAAATATGAAAATGTGTGATAAAAAACTTGGTGTGTAGAGTATATATACCATCGGATTAGATCTATGGAAATTATATCTGTATATTCAAGGGATCTTACACAAATTATATCTATTGTTTGTGTACACACAGACAAACACACATGCACACACACACAGATTGTATTTATGCTCATGTACAAAGAAGATTAGGAATATATTGGACATCTGTAAACTACTTTATTCAGTGTGCAGAGTGCACATTCCTCTCATGCTCACATGGAACATTAACTGAGATAGACTGATCTAAAATCAATTATCTGAGCTTCCACTCTAGAAAACTAGAAATGGAAGAGCAAATCTAAAATAAGCAGAAGAAAAGAAAAATTACAAGGGTGCCTGGGTGACTCAGTCAGTTAAGCATCCAACTTTTGATGGAGTCCTGTGTCAGGCTCCAAACTGCCAGCATGGGATTCTCTCTCTCTCCTGCTCTCTCTGCCTCTCCCCTGTTCCCTCTCTCTCTCAAAGTAAATAAACTTTTAAAAAAATTAGAGTAGAAATCAATGAAATATGAAACATGAAATCAATAGAGAAAATCAACGAAACTGAAAGCTGATTCTTTGAAAAGATAAGTCAGATGAATTTAACTCTAGGCATGATAAGAAAAAAAGAGAGATGACACAAATTATGATTACAAAAATTAAAGAGGGGTTATCATTGCAGATTCCATGGATGTTAAAAAGATATTAAAGGAATATTATGAACAGCTCTCTGCTCACAAATTTGATAACCTAAGTGAAATGGACCAATTCCTTGAAAGATACAATCTGCCAAAATTCACACAAGAGATAGATAATCATTTGAATGGGCCTTTATCGACTAAAGAAATCAACTCAACAGTATATACCCTTCCAAAACAGAAAGTACCAGACACAGATGGGTTCACTGGTGAATTCTTCCAAACATTTAAGGAAGAAAAATGTATCAATTCTCTCCAGTCTCTTTCAGGAGATAGAAGGAGAGGTATACTCCCTAATTCATTCTGTGAGTCCAGCATTACCCAAATACTAAAACCTGATAAACTACAGACCACTATTTCTCATTGATACAAACATAAAAATTCTCAACAAAATATTAGCAAATTGAATTCAATAATGTATAGAAAGAATTATACACCATGACCAAATGGGATTTATCTAAGATATGCAAGGCTGGTTCAACATTTGAAAATTAATTAATCTATCACATCAACTGACTAATGAAGAGAAGCCACATGATCATACCCATAGATACAGAAAACACATTTGATAAACTCTAGCATCTATTCATGTAGAAAACACTCAGTAGGGACTCCTGGGTGGCTCAGTTAGTTAAGTGTCTGACTGTTGATTTCAGCTCAGGTCATGGTCTCACACTTCATGAAATCTAGCCTGTGTTGGGCTCTGCACTGCCAGCACACAGAGCCTGCTTGGGATTCTCTCTGCCACTCCCCTGTTCACGCACAGTCTCTCACACTATCTCTCTCAAAACCTGGAATAGAGGGGAACTTTCTCAACTTGATGAAAAGTATAAAAGAATGTACAGTTCATATCATACATAATGGTGAGAACTCAGTGCTTTCCCACAAGAGTAGGAACAAGGCAAGGGTATTCTTCTCATCACTGCTTTTAAATATCATGCTTGGAATTCTAGCTAATGCAGCAAGACAAGGAAAGGAAATGAAATAAAAGGTATACAGATTTGGAAGAAAGAAAGAAAACTCTCTTTGTTAACAGAGGACATGATCATTTATGGAGAAAATCCAAAAACCTCAACCCAAAAAGCTCCTGGAACAAATAAGCAATTATGGCAAGGTCACAGGATACAAGGTTAGGATACAGTAATCAACTACTTCCTGTATATATACCATCAATGAACAAGTGAAATTTGAAATAAAAAAACATAATACTTTTTATATTAGTACTGCCAAAAAAAATGAAATAGGCACAAATCTATTGAATAGGGTTAATCTACCTACCTTGTAGGATACCATAGAAATGCTAGAGGGTGGCTTCTAAGGCTAGATCAAAAAAGACACTGGGCTTCTACTCTGTTCTTTCTCTTCAGTCACTCACTCTGGGAGAATCCAGCTACCATGTTGTCAGGACCCTCAAGCATCCTTCTGGAGAGGTTCGCTTGGAAAAGGACTCAGGTCTTCAGCCAGCACCCAAGAAATTGAAACTTTCTGTCAACAGCCATGTGAGTGAACCACCTTGGAAGTGGATGACTGTAGTCCCAGATACATCTTGACTGCAACTTTGTGAGAGACTCTGAGCCATACTCCCCAAACTAAGCTGCTCCTGAATGTCTAACCTGCAGAAACTGTGAGAGATAATAAATTTTTGTTGTTGTTTTAATCCTTTGACATTTGAGACAATTTGTTTTGCATTAACAGATGACTAACCCGAGTGGTGATATTATCCACTGAGTAAGTGAATCCTGAAGGAGAACTAGGTTTCAGGGAACAATATAATAGATATAGAGCCACACAACTCTTGCCAGTAAATTTAAGAGGAAATGATATGTGTCACTTACTGCCTGAGACCATTAAGAATAGCTCTGCCTTTTCTACATTTACTCCTTGTCTTCTCTACCTCCATTTCCCACAAACCAGGGCATCATTGAGACTATGTGGTGAAAATGTCAGAGCCACAGGATGGAAGGAGCCTGGATCCTGGAATTACTGCTGGAAGAAAGCTTCCTATGAGAAATCCCAACCATGAGCACCTGCTTTGAACTTTATGTGATTGATAAACATTAATTGTATTAAGCCACTGAGACTGGAAATCACTATAGCAGTTAGTGCTGATTGGTCTAGATAATAGGGACATGTTATGTTTAAGTTATTTCTGAGATATCAAATATGGAGGAGGCAGTTATAAGTACTAGATACTTGGAAAAAGCTGGAGAAATAGCTTGTGTATCATCTGAGGCCCCCAGGCTTGTGGGAGTCTCCATTCTTAACTACCATTTTGCCAAAATGCACATGACATATCCACTAACACATCTGATAACTTAAAGTAAGTTCTTTTAAAAACTTTTTTTATTTTGGGGGCGCCTGGGTGGCTCAGTTGGTTAAGCGACCAACTTTAGCTCAGGTCATGATTTCACAGTTTGTGGGTTTGAGCCCAGCGTCGGGCTCTGTGCTGACAGCTCAGAGCCTGGAGCCTGCTTCAGATTCTGTGTCTCCCTCTCTCTCTGCCCTCCCCTACTCATGCTGTGAGGAGTAGTAATTTTTAATAAAATTAAAATTAATAAATGTTAAAAATTTTTAAAAAATAAATAAAGACTTTTATATTTAAGTAATCTCTATACCCAACATGGGGCTTGAACTCACAACCCTGAGATCAAGAGTCACACACTCCAAAAATTTAAAAAAAAAAAAAAGGGGGGGGCGCCTGGGTGGCTTAGTCGGTTAAGCGTCCAACTTTCGCTTAGGTCATGATCTCGCGGTTCGTGGGTTAGAGCCCAGCGTCAGGCTCTGTGCTGACTGCCAGCTCGGAGCCTGGAGCCTGTTTCAGTCTGTGACTCCCTCTCTCTCTGACCCTCCCCTGCTCATGCTCTCTCTCTCTCTCTCTCTCCTAGAAATAAATAAAACACAAAAAATTTTTAAAAAAGAGTCACACACTCCACTGACTGAGCCAACCAGGCACCCCAGGTAAGTTTTCAATACTTTGGAATTTTCATCCAAAAATTTCCTTTTCAGTCTGTAGTTTTGCTGTGGTGCTTAAGAAGTTTCGAAGTTAATTGTACCACTAACTAGGCATCTAGTCCAAAGTCACTCATGATAAAGATAAAGGTGACAGGCATATTCTTGAAGTAGTTCTTTCTGGTCGTTGATTAGTGGTTTAGATGAATCTGGGAGCCAGACTTCCTGGGTTTGAATTCAGATCCACTACCTGATAGATCTGTAAACTAGAGCAAGATATTTAATCTTTCTGGACCTAAATTTCCTTCAACGAAATGAAAAGTTTTCCTCCACTGAAAGTGAACATAGTAACAGAACTGAACTCATAAGGTTGTTATAAGAATTAAATGAGTTAATATATATAAAACACCTAGAATTCAGACTGACATATAGTAAGTTCTATGTAAGTGTTAGCTACCATTTTTATTTTCTCTTGTATACCTTTACACCTGAACCTTTCCATATTTTGCATGAGAGGGAAAGCACAAAACATGAAAAAAATCAATTTTTTTAAAGAGAGGGAAAAATCATGATAGACATGACTTGAAGTTGCATGTAGAAGAACAGTTGGAGGTTGAAGCTTTACTACTATGCTGGAATTTTCTTCTGACCCTGCCTACATCAGACCCAAGTTAATATCCCCACGTGAGAATTGTCACTCAATACTGACAAAGTAAAATATGTTAGTTTGCCCAAATTGCCATGTTTAGTAGGATGCATATTTTGGTTTTATTTATTTGGCACTTGTTAATTATATTTCTTTTATGAGTTTTTAAGAATTGAGATGTGTAGGGGCACCTGGGTGCCTCAGTTGGTTAATCATCTGACTTTGGCTCAGATCACGATCTCATGGTTCGTGGGTTTGAGTGCCATGTCAGGTTCTGTGCTGACAGCTCAAAGCCTGGAGCCTGCTTTGGATTCTGTGTCTCCCTCTCTGTCTCTCTCTCTCTGCCCCTCCCCTGCTCACACTCTGTCTCTGTCTCAAAAAATAAACAAACTTTAAAAAATAAAAAAAAAATTGAGATGTGTAAGTATGCTCATATATTTACCCCTTCTTGGAAATAAGCATCCACCTCTTGATTAAATTGAATTAAGGACCCCCTTGTGCATAGAACTGACACTATATAACAATATATAAAACAAGTTGAACAAGTTTCTGCCATCAGAAATGCATAAACATAAAAAGAAATTGAGGTGTGTATACACTTTCCCAGAGTCCACACTTTGGCAAAAGCACGAGCCAAGAACATATAAATCAAATATTCACAAGACACATAAGCATTGCAGTTAATAATTTTCATGTTAGAGCTCATTGATGTCTAAGTGAGAACTTAATGGTAATTTTAAAAAACCCAGAGAGCAGTAAAACTCAGTAACTTGCAAGCAAATTTATTGGTCAGTTTGATAGATTGGTCATATATAAAATCTCTTACGAAAACACTGATGTATGTTCATGTATGTACTTCCAAGAATTATTTTATTTATTTTTTAAGGAAGGAGATGGGTTCCTGGGAGACCCCAGAACAGTTGACATTCACCTGCCTTCCAGTTATGGATTAATGATTATTGATCTGATGTAAGGTGATATTCCCTCACCATCTCTGCACTCCCCATGTCCTGGGGTGCAGGAAACTTTGCAGGGTCAATCTCTGGTCACTCTTTTTCTGTTCTTTCCTCACTCTCTGCATTCTTCCACAGCCCTTAGTTATTCCCCATTCTGGTTTACCAGGACTTTTCTCTGCTTTTGGCCACCTGATTCTCATCTGCGAGGTTGGCGGGGCGGGGATCCATCTTGTGGCACACGCAATAAAACGCAACACTGAAGTCACTGAGCCAGACATTTCTCAATATTTGCTCTGGCAGAGATAGGGAACTAGAGCTGCCCTCATGTTCTAAGGAACTGAGAATCATTTTGTAAAGAGAGGGGAAGGAATCCACCAGGACTCAGGTCCGGAAGGCAGGAGGTTTGCAGGGCAGGGAGAAGAGCCTTCCTTTGCTCATGCATTTGGCAAATGGACTCCTTCAGGTTTCAACTCAGGGGCCAGCAAAGTCCTCTCTGTTCTTCTGGGTTCATTCTGAATTTTCTACAGGCTTCCATGGTGGCAGTTCCTGTCCCCAGTGCCTAACACAGTGCTCGTCATATCAAGGGCACTCAACAAATGTCATTAGAACAAAAGCCAACCAGAGCTTTTGAGCAGGTTGGCTCTGCCTTCTTTTTGCCATTTGATAATTGGCCAGAAAACCAAATGGCCTAATTAATCAGGGATTGGAGGGGGGGTCACTTTGGTCACAAAAGTTAATGATTTTTATTGCTTTATTGATTTTTTTTAAACTGTCACTTAAGTACCACCAACACAGAAGAGGATATTTCAGTGGCTATGAGGTCGTGTAAAATTCTAGTGGGTAAAATTCTGATCCTAGTTTTGGCCTAAGTTTTGACTCTACCATTTAGTCGCTGTGTGACCTTTGGCAAGTTCCTTAACCTTTCTGTGTCTGGGCTTCCTCATTTGCAAAACAGGGCTTATAATAGCACCTGCTTCCTGTTGTTGTTGTGAGAATTAGATGAGTTAACATTTGTAAGGTATTTAGAACTTGCAAGTGCTGAGAATAGAGAGGTGCTCAATTAGTATTTGTTGATGAAAAAAATTTTTACTTTTTAATTTTCAGTTCATTGTTAGAGAAGATACTTAGACTCTCTCTTTTTTCTTTCAGTTGCTTAATTTTATGTTCTGGTTAGACTAGGTATTGAAAACTATTACTGTGTGGGCTGTTGCTGATTTATGGTAAATTACCATTCTGATCAAATATCCAACACTATTAGAAGAGTTAATACAAGTAAGAGCTTTGAATGGTGTTTGACGCAAGTGCTGAAATATTATCTGGCATTATATTATTATTCATTTGCTCATTTAACAAATATTTAAGCACCATGTGCTAGACCCAGGGATCCATTGAGATGGGACAAAAATCCTGCTCTCATGGAATCAACATTCTAATGAAGCAAATAGATGATAAATAGAACATGGAAAATGCATACTATATTTTATAGATTTTAAGACACACACTTTTCATGTGTTAATATCTCAGAAATTGGTATGCATCTTACAACTGATGACATTTACAATTGTAGTTGCTGGCATTTTTTTCTTTTGTACATAAAATGATGATACATGCTTCAATCAATGGCATCTTCTCACATCTGATGCAGTGTAAGAACATGTTAGATGTAATCAGTGATAAGGAAAAAACAAAGCATGCAGGAAGACAGAGAAGGAGAGTTTTGCAACTTAAATATAGTATAAATTTGCAATTTAAATATACCTCTGTATCTTTGCATTCACATATTTTAGAAGTCAAAGGCCAAATTAATTAATAAAATAATAATTTAAAACATTATTAGTGCTAAATACATGTGGTATCCTGGATGGGATCCTTGAACAGAAATAAGACATTAGTGGAGAAAGTGGTAAAATGTGAATGAGATCTGTAGTGTAGGTAGGTGCTGAATCAATATTAATTTCTTAGTTTTGATAATTGTACTGTGCTAATGGAAGATACTAACAGTAGTAGAAGCTGGGTGAAGGGTATGCAGAAAATTTCTGTACTATCTTTCCACCTTTTTTGTAAGTCTAATATTA